TTTTCCCCTCACATTTCCCGCCATTTTCCCCTCACGTTTCCCGTTTTCCCCTCACATTTCCCATCGTTTTTCCCTCACGTTTCCCACCGTTTTCCCCTCACATTTCCTGCCGTTTTCCCCTCACATTTCCCACCGTTTTCCCCTCACATTTCCCACCGTTTTTCCCTCACATTTCCCGCCATTTTCCCCTCACGTTTCCCCCCGTTTTCCCCTCACGTTTCCCGCCATTTTCTTTACATTTCCCGCCATTTTCCCCTCATGTTTCCCGCCATTTTCCCCTCACGTTTCCTGCCATTTTCCCCTCACGTTTCCCACCATTTTCCCCTCTTGTTTCCCCCTGGTTTTCAATCGCGTTTCCTGCTGTTTTTCCACTCATCTCCCAACGCTTTCGTCTGACGTATCCTGGTCACACTTCCCACTGTTTTTTCAGTCCTGTTTCCCACCTGCCCCACAGCGACCGACAGCTGCCCCACAACACCCACGTTACACATGTGACCCCGTGGAGACATTTAGGACACGGCACTCAGACCCCGACAGCTGCCCTGCAGTCCCCCATTTACAGGAACGCTCTGGTGGAACCCAACAGAGATGTCACCGAGACCCCAAATGCTGCCCCACAGGTGCCCCACGGCCCCGGTGACCCCACAGCCGCCCCCCGGCCCCGCACCGGGCAGGAGATCGCGGAAGTTGTTCCCGTCGTGTTTGCGGATGGAATCGAAGACGACGGTTCGCGCCGGCATGTTCACCCCCATGGCGAAGGTCTCGGTGGCAAACAGCACCTGGAGCGGGCGTGGGGCTGGAGGTGCCGCCATGGGGCAGTGCCACGGCAGGGTAGGACCCCATTCCCCACATGGGGATGCAGCACCTTGCCCGCGGCCCCACGCCTGCCCCACGCACCTTGACCAGGCCCTGGCTGAAGAGCATCTCCACGACCTCCTTGAGCAGGGGCAGGACCCCGCCGTGGTGCACCCCGATCCCACGCTGCAGCAGCTCCGACAGCTGCAACACCTGACAAAGAGGGGGGACAAGGGGCGTCGCTGGCCCCGTGGGACCCCCGCACCCACATCACAGCCCCCGGGAGGCCCCCAAAGCCTCACCTGAGGCAGGCGGCGGTCGGAGCCCCGCAGCCGGGCCAGGCAGCGCGTCAGGAACTGCCGGACGCTGCCGCGCTCGGCCCCGCTCAGAAGGTCGAGGGAGCCCAGGGCGGCCGCCTGGTCCTCGCAGCGGCCCCGCGAGAAGGTGAACGTCACCGCAGGCAGCAGCTCCCGCTCCCGCAGGGTCTCCAGGAGGGACAGCCAGACCCCTCGCTCCTGGGGAGGTGGGGGGGGAGCACAGGGTCAGCGGGACCCCCAAACTGCCCCCCAGGACCCCCAAAGCCCCTGCAGGGTCTCCAGCAGGGACAGCCAGACCCCTCGCTCCTGGGGAGGTGGAGGGGGGGCACAGGGTCAGCGGGACCCCCAAACTGCCCCCCCTCGGGACCCTCAAAGCCCTCAGTACCCCCCGTACCTGCCCCGGGTTGGAGCCCCCCATGGTGGGCTGCCGCGCCCCGAAGCTCTGCGCGTGTTTGCTGCTCTGCTCCTTCTTGGCCTCCACTGCTGCGTAGTACCTGGGGCAGGTGAGGCACAGGTAAGGGGTGAGATATGGGGCAGGTGAGACGTGAGATATGGGGCAGGTGAAATATGGGGCAGGTGAGATATGGGGCAGGT